ACTTCCCCACTAGACATACCTAGAAATAAATTGATTGAATTGGTCACATGCATGGATATAAGTCCATTCATTTAATTAAGCAATTCAAGAAAATAATATCCATTCAAATAAAAATCCATAATTCAAAACAAACCAAAACCAAACAAATTATTCCAAATACATAGAAAAATTGTTCAAAATTAAGCCATAAACCTAGCAAAATAAGGGGGGGGTAGGGCCGGCCATAGGGGTAAACACCCTATAAAAAACATGTCTAATTTATTCATCCACAAGCGCTGACGCCTCCTGAAAATCCGATATCTCCATTGATGTAGTTGCATCTTCCGGATGATCTACGTGTGCAAAGTTAGACTCACGACAGGAATGATACTTGGCAATAGCCTCAGAAGAAGCTTGGCATACGCGTGACCAATGATCCTTGATCCACAGCGATAACACATGTCCAATTCAGGAGAAGCAGCCTGAACGGGACCTTTACCCTTGTTCTTGAAGTTTGGGACCTTAGGGACGAGTGGTAGACACTGCTGGGTCATAATTTTTCCCTTAGGTGCAGCATTCTGTTAACCTTGGGCCCGTGGTTGGGCTTGCCGCCCATTGCCACCACCACGATGGTTCTTTCGTCGTTTATAGCTGCTAGAATAGGTCGCATACGCTTCATGCGCGATGTTCGAGCCAGTGGGTCGAGCTTGATGATTCTTCATCAGAAGCTGGTTTTGCTTTTCAGTAAGAAGTAAAATAGAGATCAAATCTGAAAACTTGGTGAATTTATGTGCCCTATATTGTTGCTACAGGACAATATTGGTGGCATAGAAGGTCGAATAAGTCTTCTCCAAGAGATCTGATTCGGTTAGTTTTACTTTGCAGAATTTCAACAAATAACGGATTCTACAAACTTTAGAGTTGTATTCATTCACGGACTTAAAATCCTGGAAGCGAAGATGCTGCCAGTCGTGTCTTGCTTCAGGCAAATATATGTCTTTCTAGTGATCGAAACGATCGGCCAGAGTAAGCCAGAGGGTGTGTAGGTCATCCTTAGCGAGATACTTAGTCTGCAGTGCATCATAAATGTGTCTTCGAATGAAGATCATTGCAGTAGCCTTCTGAGCTTCGTCAACAGGTTTATCGGCGATAAGTGCCTCGATGGTGACTCCAATGCCCCTTACTGTTAAATGGAGCTTCATGTCTTGTACCCTACTTCGGATAGTTTCTTCCAGAGACTTCTAGAGCGTAGAAATCGAGCTTGTTCAAGTTCGACATGTCCCTAAAACGGAGGGAGAAAATGTGATTAGTCATATGGTAAGCCATAGACATATATGGTAGAACATACAGGTTCTATAGACATGTAGTGGTTTAATTTATGCATGAAAACTACGGGTTTCATGTGGTATGTTTTGAATGAAAACTTCAGGTTTCAAAGGCACAAAATTTGAAACTACATGTTCAATTTAATTTTTATGAACAATTAGTTCATAATGAGAGGTTCCTGTAAGAAACATAGAATGTAATATACTAATTTGGATATAGTGGATTTGAGGTTATTTGGAAACTCAAGTGTGAGAGCTTCATTACTATGAAAGTACGTGACGGTTCAAAGTATAAAAATAAAATATTGAATTGTTAATGTCCAAAAGTGATCTTTAGGTCAATAATTTTGGATTCATTATCAGATTAATGGACTGCAGGTCACTTTTAATTAATTCAATAAATCGGGCCGTACGGGGTCAATTGAAGAAGCAAAATAATATTAAAATAATATTATTGGTCGAAAAATATAGCCCCAAAATAATTTGGGCTTAGTGCCGTGGGTAATATGGCACGGGTTTAGGTGCCTTAAGCATAGGGTAAGGCCCAAAAGACCTCGAGTGATGGATGTAGGCCACGAGTGAGGAAGGGAAACCTCAGCCGCAACTGGGTTTCGAAGTTGGACCAAGGGAAAGGGCACGGGAGCAAGCTCAAAAGCTTGCGGGTTTAGCGCGGGAAGCCCAACCACGAAGGCTGGCTGCATGAGACACGTGCCGTGGGAAAATCCCAACTAACTGGGCTGGATTGGATGCAGGCTGGGGCAGGTAATAAGCCCAGCAACCATAAAGGTTGCGGCATGCAGGAGTGGACCCAGCCAATCCAGGCTGGCAGCGTTTTGGGCGTGGGGCTTCAGACCCTGCCGAATTGAAATCCAGGTCGTGGCCTGGTGCTGTGTCCATAGTGATGGTGCGATGGTATGCCGCACCATATCCCATTCCCATATAGTTTTCAAAATCCCTTAGGGTTTAGGAAACCCTAAATATGCTTCTAATTTATTTTATATATTTTGACTCACAAATTCTACATAACAATTGAATTGTGCGATGCATGAAACAAATATATATATATATATATATTGACAAATATATGAACATATACAATATATATATATATATATGTGTGTGTGTGTATATATATATCGAAAGGAAAAATATAAACATAGAGGGGTTTATACATCATGGGAATGTTTTCATGCTTCGTGGATGTTTCAAATATCTTCCTTTATTTTAAGCATATCTGATTAGCAGAAAACGAATAAGCCTTTGAATGTGGTGGATGATAGCCTCCTCCTATGACGAGTCAATTTCTCAGTTTTTGGCAAAAGCGTGCTGATAACATGTTGTAGGCCTATTTGATTGAATGATCTAGGGTTTAGAAAGAGAGAGGGGTTCGACAATATTGAGAGAGAAGAGAGATTGATTTAATTGTCAGGTGTGTTTGATTCACCCCATTGTGCCTTCATTTATAGTAATAGGATAAGTAAAAACATTTCCCTTTAGGATTACAACATTGAATAGGTAATCTACTCCCAATAGGAATATAAGATACATTCCCAGATTCCCTAGGATTTACACAATCACATTCCTATTCTAAATATCATTGCAACAGCCTCCATAATATTTTCCAAAATGAATAATATCTTTTCTTTTCATTTAAACAAAGATATTAAGAGTGGAGATTTGGCTAAAGTCATACAATGAGTTAACAATAATTAGATTTTGAACTAGTCATTTATGAGTCGAACATGAAACTTTTCATTCGCTAGTGAACCAAAAGACCACTAAACTGTAAAATTGTGACAACTACTCTTTACTTCTTAGAAGTGCTATCTAGTGACTCACTGTAGACAGTTAGATTGAAAATGAATAATGAGATGACATACTTCCTAAATATCTAGGGCTAGCTTGAGAAAGGGGAGGAGGGCCGGGGGAAGGTAGGGTTAATGGGAAGATAGATACATGCATGCTTAAACGAATTTCATGATCCTCTGTCTACACTTGTTTTCAGTTTCTCTAGGAATATAACTTCTAGCTAAGCTAGTACGTGCTAAGATTAGGTTGTGTTCCCATATCAAGATACAGATCAAAATTCAAAATATCTTGGAAAATCTCTTACTGCATGTGATATTGCTAGTGTATATATCAACATGTATGCATGTCCTTGTGTATGTGTGTGAGAAAGAAGGGAATTATAGCAATGGTCCTTCATCTTTAACTTAATTGGAGCAATGTTCCCTTAACTAAAAATCTATGACCATTGGTTCCTTAACTCATCAAGACGTGTAGTTATATGGTCATTTTCGTTAACTCTGTTACAACTTTCATCAAAATGAGTCACATAGTCAGAATTAAGGGGAAAATATTGAAAACTAAATGAAAAAATTGTAGAATTAATGGTCCCTCAACTTTAACCCAATTATAGCAATGGTCCATGAACTTTAACCCAATTGGAGTAATGGTCCCTTAATTTTAACCCAATTATAGTAATGATTCTTACAACACGACTCGTTTGGACGGAGTTGACGAAAATGATCATAGCGGCACCTTTTGAGAAGTTAAGGAAACATTGGTTATAAATTTTTAGTTGAGAAACTATTGCTTCAATTGAGTTAAATTGAGAGATCATTGCTACAATTTCGACAGAGAAACACATAATTACAGCTTTAGCAATTTTCTTACGGAGCGATTAAATAGAGAGCCATGAATTTATTGAATTTGACCCATTGAAATATTATATTTACATTATAACTTGAAAACATAAATATTGTACTAATATGTGTATTTTGATGCATTTCACAAATGAAAATATAGATAAGATAACCAGCTTCAGGAAGAGAAAACCAGAAACATTGTCAATCTTCAAAATAAATGCATTATTATGAAGAACAATATCTAATTTCTCCACAAAGGATCGATTTAAATTTAAGTCGCTGTAATTTTTTTTTTTCTTCTTATGTGCAAACTAAAGAAGTGAAAAAAATTAGGGGTTACCTTGTGTATAGGGGTACATAATCGCTACAAGTAAAGCTATAGGTTATAAAAGCTCATTTGGAAGTTCTTTTAAACTGACCAAAAATGTTTTTGGTGAAAATATTTTTAGAACTAATCTTTAGTAAAAACTCAAATGAATCCTAAAAAAGCACCAGTTATGGAAGAAACACCAGTTATGTACTTATTCCAAAAAGCACTTTAAATACTTTTGAAATCCAAAACATTTTCCCTAAACTGCTTTCAATCATTTAAAAAACACTTTTAAACGTGCCCTAAATAAAACTTGTGTGTTTGAACTATTACAACATCAAAGATTTTCCAGCCAAAGAAAAAGAAAACTATTGCCAGAGCCACCGTTTTTGCCAAATTTGGTCATTACTAAAATTTGAACTATTACTACACATGCGATCAGTATATCTTGAATAAATAAAATCTTTTCATACCATTCGTAATGAACATAATTCGGTGAGTGCAACATTATCCTTGATCATATTGTTTACTAAGATTTGTTTGATTATTCTTCCAAAAACTGCTTAATCAAAGCATAAACATGTTCATATATCACACATCTAATGCAATAAATAGTTCATCTGGTTAGCTGTTGAATACAAATACATCCGATATCAGTTCGACAAGAAAGCCTTATATTCCTGTGAAATTCAAGATATTGATATTAGCCAAGAAAGTGCATGCAAATCTGCACAGCTAACCTAGCAGCAAGCATTAACTATTTCTATGGCGATCTAGCTTACTTTTATGAGATTGCTATTATATGTATGTATAACAACCTTAAATCCTTCTATCGCTATATTTTTTTTAACAGTAATATTAACAAAGTCGCTTAAATATTTCCAAGGAGCCTTTAGCATAACAAGAAATTAAACAAGCAACATTTCCAATCATTAAGAAATTGAAACAAAGGGGAATAGAAATTTCACATCCTTTTCTAGCATCCTCAACGTCTTTTACGTTGATCAGTATTCCCTAAACTTATCAATCAGGTGATTAATTTTATCAAACAGGGAACAACTATTTGTCTTGGATAGTCTCACTACTGCAAGCATAAACCCTGTTCATCAAGTATCTTCTGGCACTGATCCTTTTCTTTGATGATATCACTAAGTTAAATCAGATACTAATTGTTAGAGCAGGAATATACACCTATGTGGTGTGTTTTGATTGTTTAATTATAGCATATTTATACCTGCTTAAATGGTACCTTATATTAAATTCAAATAGAAATGTTTACAACATAAGCTAAACTATTAAACAAAAAAAGGCATTACAACTAACAAATACCTCATCAATGTCATTTGATGTTTTCATAAGGGATGTGGTTTTAACATAAAGAAATGCATACTTGTAGGGGTCTCTATATAAAATTCTGATCAAGTACTGGCTGGTTATGTGTTGCTAAGGAAAACCATCTCCAATGGGATCATATTTTGTAACTCTTGGGGAGCTGTAGAACAGTGGAACATATAATGAGCATTCAAAGAAATACATGAACAAAAATATAGCTTACTTCTTCGATCAAAGTTAATAAATTGGAAGATAATAGATGTCTTTGCCGGTTAATTCCGCAATTAACCCTCCCAAGATTTCAGTTCCTGCAGATGGACATCTTAATCAATAAATGTGGAATTGAAAATTAAACAAATAAAGAGAACCGCATGCCTTTATGTACTATACATGTGTACATACATACCAGTGGAAATTAAAATTTATGGTGGCAGTGGCACAATTAACGCTAGGGCATGGGGAACGCGCCATTGATGTCCCAATATTGAGATGAATTGGTAAATTGGAGGTAGCTGTTGCTGGAACTCTGATCGGTAGTATTATAATTTGAAACTACCGATGAAATTAACTTCATTTTGTTTCTTTTGATCAAAGCAGATTGATCCTCCTCCTGAAAATGATGATGATGGGCTTGATTATCCAAGAGGGATCCCAGTTCTTGATTCACATGATGATCTCCAAAATTAACCTTCGATGAGGATGAGATGTTTGTTTCATGATCATTAAGCTGCTCATTGAATAAGTTCATTTGGTTCAAGATCTGCTGAGGCCTCCTACTAGTAATGCACACCTTTTTCGCTCTTGCCCTTTCCCTTGCCCTTGCTTTTGCCTTTGCCCTCGATTCCTTCGCAACATAAGCTCCGGCAGATTCAGATTCTTTCAACTTCATCATCACCATCTCTTTTTCTTTGCTGACTACATGATTATCCACCTCGTTTATGTCCGAAACAACGTCCTTGCACTCGGAAGTGGAAGACAAACTCTTGGACCGCTCAGAACTGCAGCTCAAGTTATTCTTCCGTGTTCTGAGATCCCTGATGGCCTTTCTGGACTTGTTTAGTAGCCACTCTAGGGTTTTACTTGCCGTGTCAAACCCTAGCCGGTCTTGGAGGTCAAAGAACTGACGGGAAACGTCGATGGACAGCCTTACCCTCCGGTCCCTCAAGCCCTGAGCGGTGAAGATCTTGCTGTGCTGGTCTTTCTTCGCCGGTGCTACTACTACATCTTGCCTAGAGGAATGAAGAACATAGTTACTGTACTGATGATGATGAAGATCTCCACAAGATGATGATACGGGGGCATTTATACTAGGAGGAACAGTGTTTGATGAAACTCCCAAATGGGTTAGGGTTTGATGAGCAGAGGGTGCCATTAAAGAAATATTTTGGTGTGAAAATTGACCAGAGAGGGAATCATGAATGTGGTGAAACAAAATGTCTCCAGTGCAGGTTACTAGGTTAACACAAGGAGGAGGAGGAGGAGGCGGAGGATGAGGATGGTAATTTGTAGAAGAAAAGGGAAAGTTAGGTTGGGGACTTACAGTATTGCTATTACAACTGGAAGATGAAAACATGATATCTTTGTTAAGAGAGCCTCGTCTTCTTTTTGAACACCGGAAAGAAATTATCCTAATTTCAAACAGGTCAAATTAAGAGAGCTTCTTCATACTCATTAAACTTCTCATGACTTCCGCTTTTCAGACTCACTCTCTCAGTGCAACTGCAGATCCATCTGTGTTCTAAAAAAGAAGATCAAGGGGAGTGAACTTTACAGTGATAGATGGTATCATCTGGTATAGACACAAAAGCACTAATGAGTGGGGGATTGTTTGTGTTGGAGACAGCTGAAAGATGGGTTTTTGGCTGTCTCTGTTTTTTTTTCTTTTCTCTCATTTTTGTTTTTTCCGGTGAAGTCTTTCGTGGGTAGTATAGTTATCCTCAGGGAAAAATCTTGAACGTACAATGGTGTGGACAAAATTATTAACTGAGTTTGAGGGTGATGTGCTACTGGACATGGGAAGCGCAAAATGTTTGTGCCATTTACTGTGGAAACACCATAACCTAACCAAAGACTGATGGGAAATTTTAACAACCCAACTTTTAGACCCGTTAAAATTTCCAGAAAAGAGAGACCATACTGAATTAATTAACTAGGGTTAGGTTAGGCAACACCTTAGCCTAGATAATAATTTCCATGCACATCTTTTCACCTTCAAAGATGATGTGTTATCAACACACCATTTTTTACTTCTCACATATTCTTTTAATTTTTAGCGGTTGGATTTGATGATTAAAGAAGATCAAATGACAGAAATTAACAAGGGGTGTAAGAAAAGTAAAAAGAGGTGTGTGGATAGCACACCCCATTTCAAAATTGTTATTTTTACCATCTAGTTATACCACTATTTGTATCATCTCTCTAATAGAGATGATATCCACATGCGTTTGTGGGTCTTACCTCTATTAGACAATCTTCAACCCTTGGATTAAAACCTAAAATTTTTAACCTAGAAAATTTAGGTTTTAACTCAGAAATAAGTTTTCTGCTCCAACATTTCTGGGTTAAATTTTTAGGACGAGATTATTAAATAATGAATTTAGAATAATTTTTTTCTTAAAGTAACTTAAAAAAAATTATGTAGACTATATCCTAATTTAATTTATGAAATTTTAACCTAAAATATTTAAATTCCGACAAAATATTGAAAAATCACTAAACTGACACCATAAAACTCGTGGAACACCATGAACAAATATGAAAGACCTGAAAGATTTTTTTTTTTATTACTTTGGCTATTGGATTTAAATTTCGACTGCTAGATCTATTTATTTTACCATTGGATTTGATCTTATAGATCTTAGCCGTTAGATTCAATGAAATTATAAATATAAAACTAAAAAAAATACACATATATGGGAGGCTAGCCCACTAACTCGAGGGGAATCCTGGCCTAAATTTGCCCCAGAAATGAGTTTTAGGTTAAAACTCATATTTGCCCTAAGGGTTGGAGTAGGTTCAGATGAATTTAGAACCTTAAATTTAAGTTTTACTCTAAAAAATAGAGTAGGTCTTAAAAAGATGGTACATGTGAAGATATAATTAGATGATAAGTGTGCTACTATTCTTTCACTTTTAATATGGAACACATCTGTTCACTTATTACATGGGACAGTACTCATTTTATACACTAAGCTATGTGATAGTGTAGAGATATAACATCTGTCATTTGAAATTCTCTCCCACACCCTTTAAATAAGTAACCAAACAGCCTCAAACATTTCAACCTTAACCAAGCACTCATCTTTTCTTATTCCTTTCTTCCCATGGCCGATCTACCAATAACAATCTTCTTCCCATGGCAGATGTAAACCAAACTGATAAATTCAAGAAGGGGGGTTCCAGACAGAAAAAAATAAAAAATAAAAAAAAACACGAATGTTTCAGTTGAACTAAGCTTCTCTATCGATCCTACCCACAATCACTCTTCCAACCGTCACACTGCAGCGAATGCCACCGACTTCTGCAGCGGTGAGGATGACTAGTTGGGGCTTCTCGCTCGGTGGTGAACAAGGACTCGACGCCGGCTTTGCAACTGAGGTCAAGATCATGGCGGGTGCGAGGTTGGTGAATCCTGGAATATGGAGCTGGCAGATAATGGCAGAACTGATGAGGCCGGTCAAGGACAGAGGCAGCTAAGGCCCACTGGGGTAGCTGCTCCACTGATATTTTGTGCAAAGGAAAAATTACAGGATGCTTAAAGAACTTGAATTTATTATACTTAAGTACCGTAATTAATTAGTTGAAACTTTCAAATAATATGTATAACAAGTTATCATTTGTGAAAAAATATCTACAAGTCGGGCTCAATGAAATTTTAGAAGAAAAAAAAGAGCAATTAATGAAATTATATAAGAAAATTCTACTATCTTTAATTTTTTCTTTTTTTCTTTTTTTCTTCTCAAGTATAATTGGAGGTTAAGGAAAGTTTTATGAGTATCGTCGTTGATTTGTTAGGGCGGAAGGAAGACGAAGGGGAGAAGAAGATTTAAGTTTGGTAATAGTTTTAAGGGTGAGATTGTGTTTGGCTACAAAGATGGAAAAGGGTAGGGGGATGACAAATGTTATATTTCTATTGGGTCATAAAGATTGGTTTGTAAAATGGATAATTTTTGTCTTGATTTTTCTTTGATTATTCAATTTAAAAGCCAATAAAAGAATGTATAACGGAAAAAAAAACATGAGGGTATAAAAATCATTTCCCAACCTAGATAATGTCTCTCATAGGATTGGAAAATTGAAAAGTAAACAACTGTATTGGCGTAAGCTGTTTATTATAAGTGGATTACACTTCTTTTTTTCTCTTTTGTTTTTCAATTAAGCAACATCGTGTGACATGATGAAATGGTATTATAAATAATATATGTTGATTTCTATATAACACGTTAGTATATACAACATTACAAGTGTAAACGTTGTCATCCATTATTTTATAACCTAGACGAATCGTGTATATATAAAAGTTTTTCTCTTGATATCTTTTGCCCTAAAAAAACATATACGTTTGGGTACGTGCTTCTTAAAAGGGAGTCAGCCTAATTCATTATGACCGTTAAAAACAGATCCTGTATTTGTCATACAAATATGAAGCATGCAAAAGATCAAACCTTTCTATTTGCTTAAAAAAGGAAAAATTAATGAACCCTTAGGTTTTCCAAAAGCCGTGAGTTCACTATAACAAAAGTAGTCATTACCGACGAAGATTTTCTGAGGGACCCAAAAAACTGTTGTAAAAAGCACATTTTGTGACTATAAAATATGGGTCGTCAATAACATGGCATGAAACAAATTTTTATTACCAACGCACATAATGTCCTCTGAAAAAGTCTCAAGTTTCGTTAGAAATGCACTTTTGTTTGGCGGGAAGAATTGGCGCCAATTGTATTAACGACAAGTAAAGTTCTAATCGGAAATAGAATGGTTATTTTCAAAGGTTTACTCATGTTGACGAAATTGATTTAGTATTTTCGAGGAAAAAAAGGTCCTCTCGGTAATGTTTTTATATTTTTTAGGGAAAAAAAGTCCACTCGGTAATGCTTTTATATTTTCGAGGGTGATTAGTTATTGTCGGAAGTAATCATATTTTTTCCGACAAAATTTTTTCTTTGTCAGAATAAGTTTTTAAGGCATATGGTTTTGTTGGAATCAATTATTTACCAATGGTCACATGTGTTGTTGGAATATTCTTGAAATAAGTTTGATGCTTAATTTAAATTCTACAATAAATAGATCATCTAACTTAGAATACATATGGAGAAGATTAGACCATAAAATTAAAAATAAAACCGTTGAGCAAAAAGGTGTATAACTTAATATAGTATTCTATAATAAAGAAATTCATTAAAATAGTACTATCTACCAGTGAAAATATTTTAAATTGAAGATCGAATTTGTTTGTCATACTCTTATAGGGTTGAGGAGTGTGGTTGTAAAAAATCAACAAAATTGGAGTTAAAATAACCGTTAAATCGTGAGTTCGTTTATAATCGTTGAAAGGTTTCGTCCCTTTTGCTTGATATCTAAATGTCTGTTTTTTGTGATTTTTAACGTATGCGATCTTCGAGCATATACAAACAAGTTTGACGGTTGGATCATTGAAACTAGTTTTGTAGAATGTGTATTCATCTGTCAAAATGATAGATTCAACAAACACTTGGAGTTTATTTTATACTTCGATTAAGTAGAACATAATATTTTGTGGTATCCACTAGTGCAAATATTTTAAATTGAAGATCGAATTCATTTATAGGGTTGAGGAGTGTAGTTGTAAAAAATCAGCAAAATCGGAGTTAAAATAATAAATTGTGAGTTTTCATTTATAACCGTTGAAAGGTTTCATCCCATTTCCTAATATCTGAATGTCATTTTTTTTTTCGCGATTTTTGACGTATGCGATCTCGAGGTATATAAAAGCAAGTTTGACGGTTGGATCATTCAAATTAATTTTCCAGACTGCAGATATTAAATTCTGATAATGTTTAGGGTTTTGGCTCTTTTCCTCAAATCAATGGTATGGAACAATATTATTTTTTATTTAAAAAAAATGTTTGTAGAAATTTTTTGTCCCGTTACCTAATCTTTAAATATTTGTCTTTTTTTTTTTTTTGTGATTTTTGACATATGTGACCTTGGAATAAATACAAAAAAGTTTGACGGTTAGATTGTTGAACTAGTTTAGTAAAATGCGTATTCCGTCAAAATGATAAATTCAAATAGAATCACACATTCTGACAAAAAAAAAAATCATACATAAATTAAAAAAAAAAAATTGAAGGAGGCGGGAGACCAAAATTTTGGCATGGCGTCCAAAAACTCAACTCTCTATTTCCGAAGACAGGGCTCAGCGCCGTTTAGCTTTCTCTCCTCCTCCTCATTTCTCCCTCGCAGCTTCTCTGCATCTCCTCATCAGAAACAAAACCCTAGCCTCCATCCTTCATTCCGTTCTCAAAATCTCAGGGCCACATTCATCAAAACCAGCACCATCTCTCATTTCTCTCTATTTCTGCCTTCATCCAAAAAAATTTCACACGCCTCCACTTCTGCAAACCCGAGCCCAGTTCCACCTTTTCGACTCTCAGTGCATAAATCCTCGGTTCTGCGATGAACTGAGCATCTCAGAGAGCAGCGGAAATCCCGTGGTCGGCGGATCTAAAAAAGAAAGGTATAATCATGTCTCTCGTTACTCACTTTGATGCATGTGTTTTGCTGAATCTCTACATGCTGTGAATCTGTGAAAATAGTATACAAAATGCTTGGGTAGTATGATCTTTGTGTTGATCTTATGTTTATTTTCTGATTTTCATTGTTTGGGTTTCTTACCAATTGACAATTATATTGTGCTTGATATAAGTTTTTTTTTTTTTTTTTTTTTGCAGAATAAAGATAATAATTGTGGATCTATGTTCGTAGCACTACATTCGAACTCATTGACAGTTGGTTAAAGTGGACATGAAAAACTAGCGTTATAAGACATCATAGGATTGTACCAAGTACTTTTAAAATTTTTACATCGATTTTTTTTTTGTATATGTAGTTGAATATATGATTATTAATATAAAACAATTCTTTCAATAAAAATTGGCATTGAAAATTATTATTTTTTTAAATTGTATTTGTATCCTTTTATTTTTGCTGACGAAGTAGGATCAACGGAAATGTATAATTCCAACGACTTTT